GGGCTTGCCCTTATAGGAAGATGCGAACCCCAGAATAGGTACAATAACCTGAATCTCTGGTTATGAGTTTGCTTTCGTAAGGTCTTCTTCGCGGGTGTGTCTCTAAAGTGTTTTGAGCTAATTTTATTTCGAGCATCACTTTGGAGCTATATTCACGAAGTCCACTTAACGAAAGCTTTCCCCCACAAACTTATTGTTTGTTTTCATCATTGTATGCCTTGGCTCTTCAAATTCCTCTCTTCTTCGGACCGTCCATATTATATGGAATAGAGAGTTATTCAGAGAAAGGGGCTAAACAATAGTAGACAAGCTGTCGACTCTATGACAACAACTGAATGACATGTGGCGACAACACGAAGCGGAAGTAGGCACAGTCAGAGTCAGGAGAAAGGAATGAAAACCATAAATGAAGAGCCTCTTAAATTCATAGTAACTTAAGAAGATTTTGGTCGACAGACTATTGAACCACTGAAGGACCAACTTTTTCAGGGTTGTTAGAAGATGACAACACATTATGGGGCCGTCAATTTGGAGCAGACCAACCGATGACTCAAATGCCTATGTGTTCGATTAGGTCGATCCTCCCTTTGCAATAATCCAATCGAGAGATCCTTAGCTTGAGCGAGGGTACCACCTATTTTATTTGGCAAGTAAAAGCCCCCTTTGCGAGCGACCAGAAAGGAACTTGCATTCGCTCTTCCCATCGCCTGTTCAGCTGTGGAGATGCAACTGTGTCGGTTTGATGGGACTCACTTTGTCCCTCTGTTTGCTGGTTGTTGACCTGGTTGTCCAGAATAAGCGGGTTCCCTGGTAGGGATCTTTAAAGATGGACCCCCTAAGGTTCTGCTTCAAAACTAGGGGTCTGGTTGTTCCTCTGGGTAATTGCTGCTCGAAGGACCTCGAATTGCTTCATCATGAGGGTCATCTGGGCTTGCAGGCCTTAGACATGTGCATGGACGTCCAGTTGCTTAATATTTCTACCGGATTCCATGCATGTTATCTCTTTTCAGGAGGTTTCTCCTTTGTAGTATTTTTCCACTTCTCGTATGTGGCATGATTCACACTCACCACACTATCTTTTAGGATGTTGAATTCTAAATTATTTTTTTGTGAACAAGCCCCGAGAGTTGAAACCATACAAAGGAGAAAAGAGAAATATATAGTAGAACAAGTCCAGAATTCACTGTAGAGAGAATTGAGAGAGCCCCCTTTATTCATACTTTTTCCTCTTATTTAAAGAGATGTGTTTTATACAATTACAAAAAAGGAATGAGTAGTTATGGAAATTGCTCTTAATATCATTTATGTTATGATCAATCATATGAATTTCATACTATATCTGTATTACAATTTAAATTTTAATATGACGGTAATTGACTGACCAACTTGCTTAAATTTGATCGACTGAGTTAACCGACTGAGTGGTGATCACACCTTATATTGGTCAACTGAGGCACCTAGTCAAGTGGCAATCTCGTCTGTCTTGGTAAAAGTGGGTCGACCAATTAGTCACGATCAAGATCTCAGACCTATGCTCTGGTCGGTTTGGACTGCAGACGTGGTCTGTCATTCGGATCTCTCGTCGTGGTGTGTCAGTCAATTCTTGATCACGTAGTTGGTTGTAGGACGATTTGACAACTTAGTCGTTGGGCTATCGTCTGAGCCATTCGATTGCTTTGAGGTTCGTGCTGATAGCTTTAGTGTATACATTATCATAACCCTAGATGTCACATGCGAGACTGCAGCGAAAGCTGAAGATGTCGCAAAGGGGAAGACAACCAAAAAAGAGCTCGGGACCGAGAGAAGAAAAAACTCTAGGAGCTTGAAGGGTAAAAGGAGTTTCGATCGAGGTCTCATCGTACCAATATAATAAATATGACGACTTCCCAATGCAGTCTTGGAGATTTGGTTTTCAGAAGCATAGGTTTAAACGAGCGCCCCAAATGCAAACAAAAGTGCAGTTCGAACAACACAACAACACACCAAACACAACCTTATAATCCCTTGCCCAAACTTGTTATTACATGGTGAAATCATTCACGCATTGGGTGATGGAAAAGCCTTTTATAGTCCTAAGCAAATCAACATCAAACATGTTATGGTATGGCTCATATACCATATCGGGACAGACGCTGGATCGAAGCGGAGCAGAGCGGAGCGGAAGAATCTGTCCAAATTGGGAAGTTACGTGGGTTGGGGTGCGGGGGCAAAGCCCCGCGGTATGGTACAGGGGTAATGTTGTAATTACATATTGTGCCTAAAATTTGTAATAGTCACCTCAGTTTTTTGACCAACAATCTCTTTCACAATAACTCCACAATTGTTTCTTCAAACAACAACAACTGCCCCTAATAGACCCTTATTTTTAATAGTTAGACTAGCCAATATCCATTATAATACATTAATTAAATTAACAACATCTTGAATATTTAAGGACCAAAATCGCATTGATCGAGGAAATTGAGTTCAAGCAAGATCGTCTGAGTGGATTAAGTGGAAATGAAAGGTGTCATTAGTGTTGTAAACAATTGACATGATAGTACATGATAATTTGACTTAAACTTCGACTAAAAAAAATGTGTTAAGGACGAGCTAAATATTTTTTCAATTGAGTTATCGTCTCAGAATTTGACACAATTAAAATTTAGGGTCAAATCCAGGTTGAAAACCTTAAAAATAACCCATTTTGTAGTGAAACTCGTGAATTTATATGGGACAACAGGGCTGAAAAAATATTGCATCAGGACTTCGCACGTGAAGGTGACAAAAAAAAATCGGCCCGGTACCGGGGGGAATATTCACCCGTGTTATTCAGGTGCTATTATATCTTATTCAAGTGTCATTGTGTTCTGAGAATATTTTCGGTGTTATAATGACACAATAATACATCAATAACACTTGAATAAGAAACAATAATACCTGAATAACATACAATAACACCTGAATAACACATGAGAAATATTCCCTTGTGTTACCGGACATATTTTTTTTCTATCACCACCATGTGGCGTGATTTCATTGGACTCCACACGTAACTCTACGTGCGGAGTCTTGATGTAATATTTTCTCATCAGGGCTTGGGTGCTTCAACAGAAAAAATATTACATCAAGACTCAGCACGTAGAGCTACGTGCGGAGTCCAGTGAAATTACACTGTGGAGGAGATCGACCCGGCAACACAATGAAATATTCTCCTTGTATTATTCAGATGTTATTGTGTGTTATTCAGATGTTACTGTATGTTATTAAGGTATTATTGTGTTTTGAGAATATTCCAGGTGTTATAATAACACAATAACACATTATAGTCCTAAGCAAATCAACATCAAACACTTTGAGTTCGTTTGGGATAGCTTTTTGGCTGCTTCGTTTTTCATAATCCCACCACAACTTTATTTGGAGAACTGTTTTCCTTAAAATTCTATGATAGAAAATAGTTTTTTTTTCAATATGACCTCTTAAAGTGCAGCGGCTGCCAAAAACTTGTGATATAAAATTTTGAATTTTAAATAAATTTGTAATAGTCACCTCAGTTTTTTGACCAACAATCTCTTTCACAATAACTCCACAATTGTTTCTTCAAACAACAACAACTGCCCCTAATAGACCCTTATTTTTAATAGTTAGACTAGCCAATATCCATTATAATACATTAATTAAATTAACAACATCTTGAATATTTAAGGACCAAAATCGCATTGATCGAGGAAATTGAGTTCAAGCAAGATCGTCTGAGTGGATTAAGTGGAAATGAAAGGTGTCATTAGTGTTGTAAACAATTGACATGATAGTACATGATAATTTGACTTAAACTTCGACTAAAAAAAATGTTTTAAGGACGAGCTAAATATTTTTTCAATTGAGTTATCGTCTCAGAATTTGACACAATTAAAATTTAGGGTCAAATCCAGGTTGAAAACCTTAAAAATAACCCATTTTGTAGTGAAACTCGTGAATTTATATGGGACAACAGGGCTGAAAAAATATTGCATCAGGACTTCGCACGTGAAGGTGACAAAAAAAAATCGGCCCGGTACCGGGGGGAATATTCACCCGTGTTATTCAGGTGCTATTATATCTTATTCAAGTGTCATTGTGTTCTGAGAATATTTTCGGTGTTATAATGACACAATAATACATCAATAACACTTGAATAAGACACAATAATACCTGAATAACATACAATAACACCTGAATAACACATGAGAAATATTCCCTTGTGTTACCGGACATATTTTTTTTCTATCACCACCATGTGGCGTGATTTCATTGGACTCCACACGTAACTCTACGTGCGGAGTCTTGATGTAATATTTTCTCATCAGGGCTTGGGTGCTTCAACAGAAAAAATATTACATCAAGACTCAGCACGTAGAGCTACGTGCGGAGTCCAGTGAAATTACACTGTGGAGGAGATCGACCCGGCAACACAATGAAATATTCTCCTTGTATTATTCAGATGTTATTGTGTGTTATTCAGATGTTACTGTATGTTATTAAGGTATTATTGTGTTTTGAGAATATTCCCGGTGTTATAATAACACAATAACACATCAATAATATTTAATCACACAATAACATCTGAATAACACACAATAACACGTGAATAATACGTGAATAATACGAGAGAAATATTCTCTCGATCACTCCACGACATAGTTTCATTGGACTTCGCACGCAGCTCTACATGTGTAGTACTAATATAATATTTTTTCACTTCAACAATCTTGTGCCGCCCTAAATTTTTAAGCACAATTACATAAAAATCATGGAAACTTCTTATTTTTAAAACAATCATCCTCTTTCATCTATTTTTCAAATTCTCACTCAAATATTCAAATTCAAGTAAAACCTTAATTCATATTTTTTATCATTATTAAATTCTCAAAAATTTTATGGCGACAGGTATAAATGCATAAATTGTAAAGAAAATTACTTTATTAATTTTTTTTTTATTTTTGGTTTTGGGGTTTAGGGTTTGCGAAGTGCGAAGGGCAAAGTGCGGCAAGGAGGAGGCGAGAAGAGGCGAGAAAGGGGGCGAGGCGAGGGAATCCAGGCGAAGCCAAAAGGTTGAAGGCTCGAAATCTTCTATTCCACCGATCGCCAATCCAACAAAGGTATTTTCTCCTACAGATCTGTGCAGATCGCTCTACTCTTTATCATAACCTTAATATCATGTAATAGCAAAGGGTTTCCTGGAACTATTCACATTTTGTAACTAGAAATCAGTTTTTCTTTGAATTGGGGCATTCGCATACATAGCAGACAAACTCTCATGTTTACACTGATGGCGCTCAAATCGTTAGTTTCACATAAAAAAATAGCACAATTATCACATTTTAGAAGTGAAATACTCCTTGTTCATGCATAGGTTTAAAGCACCGAAGTGCTATTTATCTAAATATGTAAATACATAAGAATCTTGTGCTATGTATGTAATTTTTTTGAAGAATGTGTTTTGATTTTTTTCCCTTTGTGGAGTGCGCTGTTAATGGTTGGAACTTGGAAGGAACTAAGAAGCAGGTTGTTTCCGAGTTAAACGAATCCAGTTGAGTTATAGGTCATGTTTGATCCATATAGTTGGCAGATTAAACGGTCGGGTTTGGGTAAGATTTGATTAGTTGATTCAAGATGATTATTGTAGCCCCATAAATATTTATGTTATTTTTCATTGGAAATAGTTTGGCAGGTTTATAAAAATGTGATATATTGCATGAGGTTTATTAGAAGCTTTATTATTTGGAGCTAGGCTTTTTCGGGAGATACATTTCCAGCTTTTGCTGCAAACCGTATGTGTTTAGGGGTTTTTGCTACAGTCAGGATTTGCTAAATCCTGTAAATTCATATTAATAAATCTGGAGATGATTAAAATTTGAAAACCATTTGGCATGATCATTGTTTAATATTCACAAATCCCAATGAACTGTTTTGCTATTTGTTATAGGATTTAACATTTGTGAGAGGAGAAGTGCTTAAATCCATTAAATCCCTTGAATGATAAGTTTTAACTATTTATTTATTTAAATGAGTTGTATCAAATTAGTAGAAATTAAAGTTTCCAGAATTATGTTTTGCAGAATCGAACCTAAAACTTGGTTAAATATCACCTAAAACAAGATAACTGGTGATCTCTTAAGGTTTTTTTTTTTAGCATGTCTTATGCTTCCATATCTCAAATTCCTGTTTTTATTTTGTCTATTATCAATGTTATCTATCTGATATATTGAATTATTTTCTGCATTCTTAGGTCTATTAGGATACAAGTATATTTTAGTGAAGCTTGATAGTGTAAATCATTCTGTTTTTTCAATTCTTAAAAGTTTGTCCTGGGGGATAAGATTATTACAAGTTATACTTGGGTGTTTCTGATGTTCTTTCACTCAGAATCTTTGGTTGCAAATAGAAAGGATTGAACATTATTTGAAAGATTTTGAGAATTAAGACCAACTAATTATATTAGGCTTATTTTTTTTGTTAGCGGAATTAATCTAATTCCTTGCACTTGTATATCCCAGTATAACATATATAAAATCATTAATGAATTGGTGATGGAATGTTCTTGAGGACAATGTGCACTTTTTGACTGGCGATTACTTATGGTGATATGTTGGGAAACTTGGAGTGGTGAAGTGATGTTTAGAGTTGAATTTTGTGTGATTGATGGTGTAGGCTGAGAGTTATAATGGGACAGTGACATATTTGTGGAGGCTTGAGGAGAAGATAGGCTCAAGTATGCCTTGTTTGGGATGAGGCCACAAGGTAGAGATTGGTTGTTTTTGGGACCTTGGAGGCGAGAGGGAGGAGGCTAGTGGTGAGCATGGGAGAGGCCAGTGTCTTTTGGTGAGGGTTCCAAATCTTGGAAGGCCTATTTTAGGGTTGGATTTGGGTGAAGAGAACAATGTCTATTGAGGTTTATAGGGGCTATGGGATACATGAAGCATGTGGTGGCATGGTAGGGGACTCAAATTGATATGCTGAGTGGAGATAAATAAAATACACAAACGTAGCTTGACTTATCGAAGTCCAGAACTGAATTGTGTAATGCAGCCTCACCAAGGGATTCAATCACAAGCAAAGTTTTATTAATCTTTCATTAATGTCAAAAAAAAAAAAAAAGGGTACATGGAGTTTTTATAGAAAAATTAAAATTCATCAATAAGAACTCTTCAATTTTTCGCCAACTCATTTATGGTGATGGAGCGTTTTTGATTTGCATGCTTTTGTTTTGTTTTGTTTGGTATGGTGGACCAAGGTCTGTTGAAGAAAAATTCAAACTCTTTTCCATCTCGTGCCGATGGTTTGGATAGAAGAGGGGGCCGATCATGCTTGAATGGAAAGTGGAGTGACCCTTGATTTGAGGCATATATTGAATCTTAGGAGGAAAGTGTCAATAAATCTTGTTCCTGCTTGTATTATATGAAATTTGTAATGTACTTTATGATGATAAATCTTCAAATTGATATGATGCTCTGATGATGAAGATAATCCTATATTAGTGCTTCTTTAACTTTACCACATTTATAATTACTCTACTCAAACTTAAAAAAAAAGGCTGTAGTCATCCAAATTGGCTGGAGAAATTTTATCCATTGCTGTTTGGTTCATCCATGTGGTTGCAGGAGGTGATTGAATGTTTGTAACTATTGTGGCATTATCTAGTAGAGGGTACATTATTTCTAAGAAACTTATATTTAAGTTGTTGTAAAATTTGATTGTTATCTACTTCAAGTTAGTAAGTTCCAATGCATAATAAATACTTTAGAAAGTAAAATATTGAGTGCAAGGAATAATAGGTTGATAACATTGGTCAAAACTAAAAAATAAATAATTAATTTAAGGTTTCTATGCTTATTACTTTTTATGATTGCAGAGTAGGGGAATGAATTTATATTATTTTTTGGTGATGAATACTTATGAAAATACACATGAAAAATAGCTTCAAGAAATTTATTAATATTATGTCAATTTGTTGTGACTCAAGTGAATGAAGATCGTGAATACAAAATGTTAGTTAAAATGCAGTAACTTATAATGGATGATATGTCATATCAGTTACATCAATAAGCATAAAAACAAGTCATTTATGCCTCCATGCAGCTTGTGATGTTTTGTGGGATTTGCAATGGTGATTTAAATGTAAGAGCTAAGTCAGGCTATATGTCTCTCGTGGAGGGTAACTTATATCAACTACCATGCAGTGTATAAAAAAAAATTTAATATGATGATCTAAGCCCACAATAAGTGTGCAAATTAGTAGAAAATCATGCATTTTTCTTCTTAGAAGGAGAAGTTTCATTACTCATGTCATTCATGGTTGATTAGAAAAGTTAAAGATTTGAGATCACAACAAATATGTGTATCTCAAGAGGCGAAGGTGTATTGTCCTTCTCAGGAAGAAAATGCTCGTTAGAAGTTATGCCTATGCTAGATGTAGGGGTAGAAATATCTGAATGAGAAACTAAGGATGAGTGAAAATTAGTACAAGCGTCAATCAAAATCAACTAAAGCTGCACATTTTCCTTTTTAGAGACATTTGAATTCGGGGTTTACTTATGTGGTTTAGATTGGCATTCTTATCTACTGGCTTGATCAGAAAAAAATTATGGTTTTATTACTAATTTTGTATACATAATTACTTCTTTTATCATTGGATAACATCCATATCACATAGTCAAAATTTGTCCAGAAGAATGTGTTTAACCTATTAGAGGACATCACACCAAATTTTGTTCCTTTAACTTTCTAGTTTGATGGGGACTAGGTGTCTAGCTGTCGAATGTTGAGATGTGTTATTTACTCAACTTACATGAAATGATATAGGATGTGGCTCAAATTATAAATTGGTTGTTTATGAGCGTTTGAGTTGATATGATAGTCATTACATTGCCACAATCAATAAATAATGTACGAGCTGAACTAACATGAAATGATATAGGATGTCGCTCAAATTATAAATTGGTTTTTTATGAGCGTTTGAGTTGATATGATAGTTATTACATTGCCACAATCAATAAATAATGTACGAGCTCTTGTTACATATGATGTATGTTTGATTTGTTCTTTTTTTGTGCCACTAATTCTCAATATTAGATCTTGAAATAGAAATACATCTCATGAGTACCAAAGGGGCAGAGGAAGCTTATCATTAGTTGGGGGTGTATTATCTCCAATTTCTTTGTAATCGTTTGATTTAGCTGCTGAAGAATAATCTGATGTTGCAAAAAAGTTGCGGTGGCTATTACATTTATTTTTTAAAGTCTGACTGCAACTGGAAAACTGTCATCGCACCTAACCAGGATTGATGGAAAAACACTGATTTATTTTAGTGGTAGCCTTTTGAAAACGATGCCAAAACGCAGTTTATCAACATCACTAATGCCCCGAACGGACCCTTAGTCTCTTTGATGAAGATGATTTTTCCTTGCATTGATGTCATATATGACTTTTCTTGTCACTTGAAACAATAATTTCCTTAATGTTCCTGATAGTTCTTATCTTACTAGGGGTCCTATGATGTGCAATTCTAGCTAATATATACACAATAATTTTCAATGTGGAATTTGAATGCATATTACTTACATATATAATTAAAATTTAAAATCAAGAAAATTAATTGAAAGTATTTCATTGGTATTATCTTACTGTTCAAAGCATTACTTTAAAATGAATACTTGTTATATATATTTAATTATAAAAATAAAAATTTGAGACAATATTTTCCTTCAAAATTATGTACCATTTTCTACATCAAGAATTGTAGCCCAATAACTGCATTATGTAATATAGATTAATAATCCAAACCCAAAATTGATAATTATTTAATATTATTACATACTTGCCTGAATGTATTTTCCATAGGTATTAAGTAAGATGTTATTGAGTTTTACTTGGTTTGACAAAGCGCAACCACTCTAATAAATACTTGTAATGTGCATGAATGCTCAAAACCACATGTGGTGTTTTATTTATTTATTGATTTTTTAGTTTTTGGAGAATTGTAGCTTAGTTCATTCCTAATCATTCACCTAAGACCTTAAATTAAGAAAGTAGTAGCTGCAGAATAATCTATAACTGAATTATTTGTAGTTATGCATTTCATCTCATTATTCACCAAATGATTATTTCTCTTTAAGTGCTTGTTTCATGCTTCAATATTTAACTTGAAACATTTTGTTAAAACGATCAAGCATGTCTATTTGTGTCAACTTTATTATTTTTGGAACCAAATAAATCTTATTAATAAAAAAGCCTACAAATTATTGATCCACTTTGAAAATATCCAATGTTATATCTCATCAATGTAGAAACATAATTTTGATCCTTATGATAGTGATGATTTTGCCGTTAAAACTATAGCCTAAGCAATTTCATTTAAATTGCATTTTTAATTTAATATTTTATTGACTAAATATATAGTCAGCACGATGCAATTATAAACCGTAATATCAATTTAAAATTAAAAATTCTAAAAATCCACCACTCAAATTTATGCGAGATGACTTAGGTTTAGGATTTTTTTAATCCAAATAATATGATGCTTGGTATGCTTTTATACGACAACAATAAGCCTTTATCCCATTAAGTGTTGCGGCTACATGAATCATTCTTCTCTATTGTGTCCTACTGAGTGTCATATTTTCATTTAATTATAATAAATTAAAATCATATTTTATACAAGAAGCCTAAGACTTTTTAGGTCTACCTCTACCTTTCGTAACATAAGTCAAATTTAAAACATCTACTCTCCTAACCGGATCTTCTGATGGTCGACGTTTAATGTGAGCAAACCATCTAAGACAACTCTCTCTAATATTGTCTTCCATTTGAGCTACACCAACCCTTTCATAGATACAATCGTTTTGCATTGTCTTTAAGTATTAAACCATTCATCAACCTAAGCATTCTAATCTCAACAACATTAACTTTAGTTTATGATTCTCTTTGGAAGGCCAACATTCTGCACCATAAAGCGTTGCAGGTTTCACCACTATCGTATAAAATTTTCCTTTAAGTCTAAGCTGTTCTTTTCTAGCACACCCTGATGCATTCCTCCATTTCGACCATCCAACTTGAATTCTACTTAAACATCCCCATCTATATCACCATGAACAGTAGACCCAAGATATCTAAAATGTTCACGCCTTCTAATGACTTGATCACCTATTGTTACAGCTCTGCCACTAGATCAACTACTATTAAAATACATTCAATGCATTCAATTTTAGATCTACTCAAATGAAGACCTTTAGGCTCTAATGTAGACTTTTATAATTCAAGTTTTTCATGAACCCTATCTCTATTCTTATTCACAAGAAGGATATCATCAGCGAAAAGCCTGGTATGCTTTCATACAAGAAAAAAAAAAATTTGTGAACGAAGTCACGACTTACTAGTTATCAACCAAATTGACAACTTACAGTTATCAATCAAGTTGACAACTCAGTTTCTTTTAATGAAATGAAACACAGATAGTCTTTAAGCTGATTGATGATGAAATTAGCAAAAAAATTAATTAGTTTTTGATAGAACATAGAAACAAATAAAACAATAAGCAGACAGCCAAATTTCCACAAAATCATATTTCCTATATATAACATATTTTTATCAAAATCGAGAATACTAAGGTAGCCAGTAACAAATTATGTAGAGGCAAACAATGAACAAATTATCAAAATATAAAAAAAAAAGTTCAAGCTTTATGCTATTACAAGAAACGACATACCTCAAAAATAGGTAGTTTGTCGTCATGCGAGTATTACGCATGAAGGAATTACAAATTCAACTTACACACGCCATTAAACATTAGAAGAGATTATATTCAAGTAAAAAATTATGAATTGCATTCTTTAAACATTCTTTAAACCACTATTTATGTATAAACTCAACCTATGTGAATGGATAATCTTGCATAGGATAAATCTAAGCTCATCTCAAGTTTAATTTTTAATTTTCCACATACAGTTGAACTCCATGCACTTAAATTTTGAAACTCAAGGCTTTGTTTATGTTCACTACTGTATAAGGAAAAAATGCTCGCACGAATCTCAAAGGATCGAAAAATCAAGGAAGGAGACCCTAGGCGATCGAAGTTCCGAATTGAAGAGCGAATACCGACATATAACAGTTATCCGACCACCATGAATTGATCGACTGACATACCTAGTGACCGATAAATCTGGTGACTAGAGAATCCATCCGATGAGATGACACGATCGAGTGTTCGAAGGACTTTCATCGATTGACTTGATCCCTCGGTGAAAGTCAACCGATCGACTGACTTAACCGGTCGACCCGAAACTTCGGACGACCGACATATATTATATTTTCTTTGTATTATAATGTAATTCTCGTTTGACAGAATTCAGTTGTTTGGGCAGTTATCTTAATTGTTCCCTCTTTTTTGTAACTGTGTTTTTAGGCCCCTATAAATAAACGGTCACGACATAAATAAAGACAACGTTTCTCTCTCACTCGAATCTCTCTCTTCTTCTACTCTCCTCTCAGCTCTAACTCTTGGGACATGTTTCTCGAAAGATAATTTAGGATATAACAACTACAATTTTACATATGCACTGGATGGTGCATATGAATTGGATAAGGGGAAATCAGAAGACAACATAAATCTCACAGCCCGGGACTAAACCAACAGGTTGCCAAGCACACCACTGTAGCATCTATTCTTTTTAAACTCGTTCTATTTTATACATGTTAAAATAATTTTAAATTCCATCACATAATAGCAAAAGGCTACCACATCACAAAAAATGCACCAACGAAAAAATAGAATACACCATTTTACCTAATTTTGGATAGTTTTTTATGTATATGTATGACCAATACAAGAATGCACACACTTATATATATATTATATATATTATATTCATTTAAACTTATGTTGTATTAGTCTATTTGTCGTCCTCCAACTACCAACTTCAAGTTGCATTTCTCGTAATGTTCTTTTGATATCTGTTGTTGCACATTTTTTTAAATTTATTTTTTCATTCATCTTATATTCACAATGATTTTTTTCCATGAATTAACTCTTTTTCTTTTAATTTTATGCAGGTTGTAGATAATGGCAGATGATGCTGATGTAAGTTTTTCTCAGACCAAATTGAAGTTTGCTTAGTCAACACAGATGACATCTAGAACTTGATTTTGACCACATTCAATCTTTATTTTAGTTATCATGAATCTTAAATACCAATTTATGATTGTCTTCGTGAATTATTTGAAATTATTGGCTGTATGAATTTCAAAATATATTCTATGCAAATTATGTGGCATGTTGATTTTCTGTCATATTCGAAGTTTGAATTATATGATACATGAAAGCTTATAAATGCCTCTCTCCACACTGTTACAGTTTTACAAATTCTAAATACACTAAAAATATATACCAAGAATCTTGCTTTTGTTCATTTTATTATTTCATCTGGACTATTTTAAATTTTCACTCAAGCCATTCATCTAGCATTTATTGAACTAATCATTACAGAGCTCTAATTCTTTTTTGAAATCTGTTTAAAAGATTTCTGTTCTGGTGCTAGAAACTTTGGAAACCTTATACTATCTTTTCTCAGGTCGGAAAGAAAGAGGAGGAGGAGTTCAACACTGGTCCTCTATCTGTTTTGATGATGAGCGTCAAGCAAAATACTCAGGTATGATACATTATGAATCACTTTTTAATTTGTTCTGTTCATGTAGCTGATTAAAATTTTTTTCTTGTTAAATAAAGATACTGGAATGATGCAGATCATTAGATATTTATTTTTTGGGTAAGCAATGCATTATTTTCAGGAATGGAACCAGGGTATATCGAGGGCGGACAATTGCCTACCTTGGAATTTGAGATTTCTTTATGTAAATAATAAAATTTAATAAATTTTTTCTTATATACTTCATACAATTTAGTAATTTTGCGCCCCTCCCCCCTCCGTATATTATTTTGCCAAATACTTGAACAAATAATATTGCCCATTTTAATAATAAAGCTGGTTCCAATCCTTTTTCTTCTTTAGTTCTCTGACATAGTCGAGCAGTGGTGTCAAACAAGGTTACAAGGAAGGCAGATCATGGTGTTTTCTTATATACTTGAACAAATAATATTGCCCATTTTAACAATAAAGCTGGTTCCAATCCCGAGCAGTGGCGTCAAACAAGGTTACAAGGAAGGCAGATCATGGTGTCATTTTTTTTTAAAGATAATAAATCATCCCCATGCATCATATATTAATGGGGGCATAGGGCTGATTATAGAAAAATGCATAGAGATAAGCGACAACAGAAAATATTTATAATTTTTTTTAAATATCAGTTAGGTGAAAGAGTAGGGGTTTAAGCTCCTTATCTCAAGGATATAGGTGAGGTTATAAACCATTAGATCAAATAGGGGTGTCAAATCAGGCTTGCGGTTTGGTTCCGGTTTGACCCAAAATTGACCCGACTTGAAATTGCTTTGACCAAATTTAGCTGAATATAAGTTGACCCTAAACCAGTTTAACATAAAGCATTGTAGTTATCTGTGTCAAATTTGGGTCAAATTCGGGCCAAATTTTAACCAATCTCAGGTCAAATTCGGGTTTACAGGTTGACTAAATCAGTTTCGAGTCAATCTCAAGTTGGCGGATCAAATAAATTAGGATACTTAATCCCAAAGAGACCGAAAAATTATTCAAGTCCATCTAAACTTTGATTTTTTGAATCGAGTTCTAGTCTAGTTGGCGTGTCGGATGAGTTTTGACACCTCTAAGTTTAAGGCCCTAATTGAATTTTACTTCAGTGTAATGTATTTGGTGATGGATAGAAGTTTGTATTACCTTTGAAGTCCTTAAAGGTTGTGTCGGATAATGTTTCCTTTCCTTCCAAACTTTGATGATCAAGTTTCAATTATATTTTTAGCTAACTTTCACTTAGATTCTTTGAAGTAGCTAAACAATGTAATTTCTCTTTTCTAAAGATGCAAGTGCTCATATTTTTAAAAGTTTCACATGCAATTTTTTTTTTTTCATGAATACCTTTTAAGCTAGCATTGTTAGTCCATAAATGTCTTTCTTCCATTCAATCTGTCCTCTTCAAATTATTCCAGACGGTAAATTTCTCATTTTAGCAATTTAAAGGACCTTTCATGGGATCAATATAAGGTTGAAAGACCTAATATTTGAAGTATATTTGGAAGTAGATTAAATAGGTCTTTATATGTTATGTTGCTAAAAAATATGTAGTTTTATGTATTTTGCCTTTGAATGAAATGAGCGCAATCAGTACCCACCCCAAGTAACCCTTTGAGGACCTTACTTTACCTGATTGAATGTTATTACTTTTGTGACATTTTCTGATTTTTCTTATCCTCCCAACGCTTAAATTTAATGAATCAACATTGTTTCATTTTCATATTTGAGTATCATTTTTATTTATTTGTGGTTTTGGCTTCAAAATATGGTTGTGTACATATCGTGTTGCCGCAGGTTCTTATTAATTGCCGAAACAATAGGAAGCTTCTTGGACGTGTCAGAGCCTTCGATCGCCACTGCAACATGGTTCTTGAAAATGTCAGGGAGATGTGGACCGAGGTGCTCTCTCTCTCTTTTTTTTTTGAAATAAAATGGAAGATTTACATACATACCACTGAATTGCTATGTATTTCAATGACAAATTTTATGAGATCACTTTTGACTCAATATTGTCATATGGGGCATTTACATGCATATCACCGAATTACTATATATTTACATTTTTAACATCTAAACTTCAAGTTTTACATACATACAACCTTATCTAAGTATAAAAATGCGTATTCTACCTTTTAAAAGTCAAAATAGTGATATTTTTTTGGGGCAAGTATATACAGACCACCTGAAACACTATTATTTGCAAACCAATCACCCTCTTCATCCATTTTTCAAATTCTCATTCAAATATCAAAATTCATGATAAAATAAAACCCAAATTCATGATAAAACCCCAACCCATATTTTTCATTTTTATCAAATTTTCAATGGTTTGATTGAGGCGCGCGTAAATACACATGTTCAGCAGTTCAAAAATAGCTCCTGGTGCTAGTTTTTGTACATAGAAATGTTTCAATGTGATATGAAAGATTTGTGAGGCATAAATGTTAAAATTAAGATGCCCCCATTTTTAATAAACTTTCTCCTGATCTGGTTTCTGAATCAAATATGTCTGCAGGTACCAAAAACAGGGAAAGGAAAGAAGAAAGCATTGCCTGTGAACAAAGACAGGTTCATCAGTAAGATGTTCCTCCGCGGCGACTCTGTTATAATTGTTCTTAGAAATCCCAAGTGAGTAACAGAACGTCTTTCTTTCCATGCTCTGTTTCTTCTGTTTGGAAAAGACTTTGTGGACGCCCGTATAATCTTCATACTCTGACCTGCATTGGGATCTTATCCGTCAGTGTGATTCTCACAAAATTTTTATGTAATGTGGGTTGTTTATCTGATTTATGCATATTTTGATGCTAAATATCGTATAATTTTAGGAAGTTTTGCATACATGCTACTCATTTTTTTTTGAATTTACATATCTATCACCTAAACTTCATTTTTTACAGACATATCATAAAATGACATATCGTAAAATATTAAATCATGAGTTTTGATGCTAAATTGTATCAGCACTTCGATTACAATGTGTTCGGCCCCGCCATATATTAAATATTTAGTTTTTTGTATTCAGTGAGGCTAGACCTGGGCCGTACATGCAACATATTATGATTGGTCTTGATGCAATTTTGCATCAGAAATCTTGATGTAATATTTTTTTTCCCCTTACCTATGCATGAAAATGTGCATTTCACTTATTAAGAGTTAAAATAGTGGTAATTTTGATGCCATGGGCATATGCTTTATGCATAAAAATGTGAATGTTTCGAATGTTTAGGTGTTAGATATATGAATGCCCTAAGAATTTATGTGCTATGCATGTTTTCCTCTTTATATGTTGCTTTACGCATGTATATATATATATATAATTAAAAATGCTACTAATGTAAAATTTTTAAATATAATTTGATTAAAATAAAATCGTTTGATACAACAAATAAAATAAGTTAGATTTTTTTTAAATAAAATAAATTTATTATTATTAAATTTTATAATGTAATTATTAATTTTGCACGTCTTGGCAAATTAGACTATAAAATATTTATTTATAATATGTTTCAATAATAATAATAATAATAATAATGTCCATTTTTTTATTTATTTAATTTTTTTAGTTCTGGTTAATAATAATAATAATGCCCATTTTTTTATTTATTTAATTTTTTTAGTTCTGGTCTTTGATTTATTATTTGAGATTTTTACATAATAATAACAACTTAAAATATTAAATATAACATTTTAATCATTCAAAATTTAAACATAAAAATTTAACAATTTAAAAATTTCACGGCCACGGCCTTCAATAATAGATAAAAGCTTTAAATAGCAGATAAGATAAAAAATGTAACATTAGGTGCACTTTTATGAACATTCGAGTCAGCTGCATAAGCCACGGGCCCGTCGCAGCGATCAATACTGCCCTGTCTATCAGCCCCCCTGCTACAAACTCATAAATCAATTCATTTAACATTAAATATAAATAAAAATATATTTTTTACTTAAAAAATGAAAACATAAATAAACTTTAAAAAATAAAAATAAATAATAAACAATAAGCATGATCCAAAACGACTTCTTCTGGCTTCATTTAAATAATAAACAGTAAGCATGATCCAAAACGACTTCTTCTGGCTTCATTCACAAGCATGATCTAAAGAAATACCTTGTGCATTAAGGACACAAATAGTTGGTCTGGTTGATCAAAAATTTGCTCCTGTATCTGCAGAACTGCAAGTTTAGATGGGTCACAGAACTGGGCAGCATTGCAATTCTAACATTTCTTTATGGAGGCACTCCCAACTCTTATGTATTTACATGTCTAACATCTAAAGTATACTTTTTTTTTTTATATTTATATCATCCAAATATTTCATATCACATTGAAAATATCACCATTTTTGGCTTTTTTTAGAAGAAAAGGAAAAATGGCATACATGTCAAAATTGAAGCTTTGAGTGTTAGATATATAAAGACATAAGAATTGGGAGGTATGCATGCAAATGCCAATGCCAACTATGGCATATATGTCAAATATTCCTTCTTTATATCATTAATAGGCATTAAAAAATAAAAATAAAAAAAGAATAATGAAATGAGTTGTGATCGTACGAGTTAAGAATGGATGCTAAATGACCATCTGGGGAGAGTAGGGATGATTTTGGGACCTCCTCCACCTTTCCTCCTTCAACCAGGAGAACCCTGTCGGCCGTCATCATCGTCTCAATTCTATGTGCAATAATGAGAACCTGAAAACCCTAATACTCATCAGGGACAAGTTTAATATATATATATATATAAAATAAATGGATTCAAATGCAAAAGTGATGAACAAGCATCCACTCAAACAAATTTGTTTTTTAAATCACAAATAAATACATAACACCTAAATATTTAGCTAGTTACAAAAATAACATTCTGCTATGTTCCATTTCATGTTATCAACAAAATATGAAACTTCACAACAAAATTGAAACCACTTTTGTTAGTTTCGTTTAGTTATGTAAATAACTAAGGTTTGAATGGTATGTATGTAATTCCCCCAAATTTTTACAATGTAATTGCGGATTGCTTCTCGTTTCTAACACCAACCTTGATAATTGTCAAATTCTAATAACTTCTTACTATGTGGAGCCAAATTGTGTCGATCAATTTGTCACTCAAAGACCTCAGTCTCAACGATCACTTGAAAGAGGGGGGCCGTGACACGCCTTTTGTATTGGGTTTGGGGACACAGCCCCTCAAAAAAAAATTTTACTGTGCACATCGTCCCTATGCCTAGTAGGCAATGCCGCCACTCCCAGTACAAGTTCAGAACCCGAGAGCACGACACTCCGGCACCTGGTGGGGAGCACTACAATGCCAACTCCATGTTTTAGAACCCAAGAGCTCGACACTGCAACACCCGGAGGTTGGAGCAAGACAACTCCACTATCGCGGGCCCCGTTGCTAGCAAACAGAGTTAGACAGTTTTCACTTAAAGCTTTGGCTTCGCTGCAGGATTGTGTGTTGTATGTTGGATTTCAATTTCTCTTATGAAAAGAAGAGGAGATGAGTGTCCTAAAGTATTCTAAAATTTAGAGAGGGTTGAGTATAGTGTAATTTGTACAATTATTTACATTTTCTTCATAGCGGATTTCTTGATGCGATGTGGCTCCGTGATTTTCCCGTTCTTAGGTTTTTTCACGTTAAATCTTGTGTTCACTGTTTTTCTGATTTTGTGCGCTCCTATTTTATGTTTTACTTCAAATCTCTCAAATATGTATCCGCATCTCCCAATATAATTATCTCAAAAAGTTCAACTAGACTTTAAATAACCTTTTGTTGCATTATATCATTTTATTTTAAATATTTCTAGGGAAGCTCATGTTAAATTTCAACAAAAACAGCTTAGCATTTATGTAATCTGGTATACATAGCCATTTCATAAAAAAAGATTTGTATTTCAAATAAATATACTAATTCAAGCAAATAGTTAATTACACTCACAGTGTGGTTTTCCATCAGACGCTCCAGGGCTTGCCTGACCAATAGCTCAGATCTGCTGTCCAGTGCAGAAGTTGCTTCATCTAAGATCAGTATTGAGGATTTGCGATATAGTGCTCTAGCTATGGCGATCCTGCAAATACAAAAGAAGAATAGTGAAATCTTGAAAATAACCAAACTGATCCTCCAATCTTTTCATGAATGGTTATTTTAAACCTATACCATGTAGAAGTTCAATTTAATCCCCAAACTCTTGAAATAAATGCCAAAATCATACAACCGTTAGAAGTAATGGAAATTGAAGTCAAAGTTCACAGATCTTATTAAAAATGAGACTATCAAATTTTCTATTTCAAACAAAATAGAAAATTAAATTGTGTAAAAATGTCAAGATTTAAATTCTTAAAATAATTTCAAAAGCTTCCATTCACTCAACTTCAATTTCTGTTTACTTTTAATGATGGCATTATTTTGGTTCCTACTTAATCAGTCCAGGCTAATTCAGATATTTTATATAGTCTAGGACTAAAATGAGTAAATGACCCTCTATAAAATAATCAAATAACAATTTTAATTCTTCAGGGAATATACATACATACCGAACAATTCTTATGTATTTAAATATCAAACACCTAAAGATTCATAATTACATGCATGCCAGTAAAATCTTTAACATTAAAAATCAAATACACATTTTCATGCAAAAGTTATGGCGCCAATGTGTCATGAGTATAAATTTAAAACTTTAGGTGTTGATATGTAAATTCGAACAAATTGTGTGGTATTTATGTAAATTTCTTTAATTCTTTTTATAGTGAAGTTAAAAAAAAAAGAGAGAATAGTGTAAACGAGAAATGAAGGATAATAAAAATGTTGTTTTCAGTTTTCACCTCTGCCTTTGACCGCCACTTAAAAGAGATCCCCTTGGCCCAATATTGGTATGGTAGCCATGTGGAAGTTCTCTAATGAACTCATCCGCATTGGCTATCCTCGCAGCATTCTCAACGCATTTATTGTCGAGTCTGTTTGAACCATCCTTATACCCAATATTCTCTGCTACTGTACCTGAAAATAGCATCTAAGAAAAACTATTGAGATTTTTAAATACTCATTTAAGATATCAAAATGAGTACCTAGGAAAAGAAGAGTACATGAATGCACATTCAGGATTTAGTGAAATTCGACACAAAAGTGTTTAAACTATAAGTCTTAATATGAGTTGAAGTAGTCACCGAGAGCGTGGTTTAAAAATTTTATATTGTTTGTTAAAGGTCAGGGGTATACTCAAGGGCAAAGAGATCATATAGTGTTCTTCAGACATTCAAATGATGGGAAGACAGCCATACCGACTGTGTATGTAGACGATATAATTCTTACCAGAGATGACATATATGAAGCAAATCGATTGAAAACTTCTCCGAGTCAGCTTTTGAGATAAAAGACTTAGGATTTCTAAGATATTTTTTCTATCATAAAGGTTGCTAGATGAAGAAAGATATTGTTGTTTTGCCAACGAAAGTATATTCTTGATCTTCTAAAAGAAATTAGGATGAGTAGTGGTAGACCTACAAGCACTCCAGTTGATCCCAACCATAAACTGGGAGATGATAAGAAAGGTGACTCAGTGAATACAACTCGATATCAAAAGTTGGTGGGAAAATTGATATACTTATCACATACACGATCATATATCGCCTTTTTTGTAGGCTTGGCAAGACAATCTATGAATTCGTCCCAAAAAGAACACCTTGAAATAGTTAACATGATTCTCATATACCTAAAAAATATACCAGGTAAGAGTTTAATTTTTTAGAAGACCACACAATAAAACATAAAGGCAGCGGTGGACCTAGGAAGGGTTAAGAGGGGGCAATTGCCCCCCCCCCCTAAAATTCAAAATTTTTACTTATATGGGAGGACAATTTGGCTTTTTGCCCCTCCTAAAATACTAGTTTTGCCCATCCTAAAATATCATTTTGCCCTTCGTGACCATAACCCCTCCCATGTTGGGTTTAGGGGTACAGTATGCCCCCATCTCAAAAATAAGTTGGATCCGCTCCTATATAAAGACATACACCGATGCAGATTGGGCAGACTCAGTTGTTGATAAGAAATCGACATTCGAATATTGTATTTATGTCTGAGAAAATCTAGTTATATAACAAAAAAATAAACAAAATGTGGTGGCAAAGAGTAGTGCCACGATAGAATATCGAGCTATAGCTAATGACGTATATGAGATGTTATGGTTGAAGAGAATTATTGAAGAACTAAAAATCTCAATAAACATGCCAATGAAGTTGTATTGTGACAATAAAACTGTCATAAACATTGCAAAAATCCAGTACAATATGATCACACAAAATATGTGGAGATTGATAGACACTTAATAAAAAAAAAGATTGATTGTAAAGCTATATTCATGCATTTCACTCCAACAGTGCAACAAATAGCTGACATCTTCACCAAAGAACTTTTCAGGTCTAGTTTTAAGTTCCTTGTAAGCAAGTTGGCTGTGATAGATATCTATCCTTCAACTTGAGGGATGGTGGGGTGTTGGAATTTTAGGAAGTTTTTGTTTTAATACATTCTATTATTAGGTTTTTTCCATTATCTGTATGTCATAATTCATATTTCTTTATTTTATCATGAGGAGTTACGATTGATTTTATTATGTTCCTAATGTGGAAGCCATCCCCCTCTAATTACGTTGTAATCGTTTTCTAAAAAATTGAAGAGGAATAATAATTTTTCTGCTCTAAAAATTACAGCTAATTTATTAACATGTATGATTAAGGGATAACTAATATTAGAAGTACTTGACCAGTCACCAAAAACTTTTCAATCACAATAGAAAGTATATCTTCATATATCGCATTGGGACATTTCATCAATTTATTCAAGTCAGGTATCTTAATGTATGTTATTTGTCAGAAGATAATTACTACATCTTATTGATAATCAAGTAAAAGTAATTTTAAATTTTTAGTATATTTTTTTATGAAAGAATAGGGCAATCAATTGGGATATAATTCATAAAATTAAAGTTGCGTGACTAAAAATAAAAAAGTGCATTAATAACTCTATCAATAAGAGAACATTAGAGTTAGAGTAAGTATTTAAAAATTCCAATTAGGCCACCTATAATATATGAATTTGAGTGTGGGGAACAAAAAAGAAGCTAAGAACAGGTAAGGAATACATGAGAATTTTTAATAAAACCATAAATAATAAAGTGAGAAATTGTTATATTTGAGAAACGACGATGAATCGGCACATATTGGTAATAATGTAGTAGAGAGTAATCATTTGGCCCAGTCATGCACAATGGACAATAAGACATGCACCAATAATATGGATAGATAAGAAATAATTTTAAGAAAGAATGAAAATGAATGGACCAAAGTAAAATGGTTCGATCCCGTCAAGAAAAAAACTGTAAAAAATAGAGCTTGTGTTGGACTCGATAAGAATAATAGAGAAGTACTCATAAATTAACCCCAAAATATTGGAATAAAACCCATCAAGATGACGAAGAAACATCTGACTAAGTATGAAAGCACCATTATTCATGTTTGAATCATCATAATCATCTTTAGCCTTTATCCAAACTACTGAAACATCAAGCAGATTAGATACATATTATCACGATTCGCAAAGTGAAATTATTACCATGTAAAAGGCTTACTCGCTGGGCACGTTAGAATTCAGAAAGGATTAATGCATCGTGTCACCACCATTATCCTATCAAGACATGTGTACAACATTGATGTCAATATTTCTTTTAGCTATTATTATTATTTTTAATCAATTGATGCATTGGAAAGCAATATAAATTTAAATTTCATTTAGGTTTATCCACTTAAAGGATGTTTTTCTAATTCATTCAGAGTATTTTTTTGAAAATATTCCAATGTGTCTTTTTTTTTCTATAAATGAAAAACCCTAGGCCATTGTTATTATGCATTAAATGAATAAATTGCTATTAGATTTTCCTATCTTATGATAGTTTTTTTCACACTTCCCCTCTAGATCCCTGTCGGCCGTTTTAATTTTCTAGTTTTGTTTTTGGAAAAGAGATAATTTTGTAGATATGAAAATAGTTTAAATATAAATATGTGATTTTAATTTTTGAAAGTAATATTTTTAATTTTTGAAAAGAGATGAGACCAAATGAGTCTCACATATTGGATAATTTAGATGACTGAGCGCAATACCACAAGTAACATATTTATCCCGAAGAATAAACATAACATTTGTAGTAGGTTCAATCACCTAAACTAAAGTATTTGTGACATTCATTTGGTCTTCGAAACATTTTTTATGATGCCAATAAGATCCCTTACCAAAGATTAGATAGGGATTATTTTACCTGGGTTCCAAATTCCATATAGAGGCAAACCCCTATAGTTAATTACATCTTAAATGATCGGGGTTACCCTAAGAAAACTCTCGATTAAGATCAGTGGTTCTGCCTTCAAGATTTCAAAGTTTAAGTTTCCACGATTGAACATGAGAAAATCACATGGGAGTGGCTCAAACAAAAACAATTATTTTAAGGAATCCAAATGAATAAAGAGTAGGAGATATCACAGATCCAGGAAAACCCTGGTGATTTCCCAACTATCCTATTGTTTGGCTTTATGTCTTTGAAATAATATTGTTTAATGTTTAATCCTGTAATTTATTTAGAATTTAAGCCTTATGTTCGCACGATATCTGATCGTGCAAATAGCCTAAAAAGATAGAAGGATTTACATTGTACCGTACAGTAACATCAGAATCCTAAAGTGTTAGGACTTATAATTGCACAACATGGTTATGCAAAAGCCTAAAAGTGATATGTGAGGGTTTACGTTGCGCTAGACAAACCACCTCAAAATCTTATGGGTTATTATTTAAACTAAAGAGAGTGCTTAATGATATGAATTTGTTTTAACGTTGCTCTTCTGAATGTCCTTGTCGTGCCACCCACGGTATTCGCTCCAAGCTCCTCGTCGTAGCACCTCCATATTCGATGTTAATTTTAAAGGTATATGCAATTGTTTAGTCAACGCTCTGCTGCCGGGTACCTCCTATAAAACCAACTATCGGCCTCCTATTCTAAGGTATAGTGCGTAACAGAACAATAAAGTATGCAGTATAAAAGAAAATAACAGTAGAATGTACAGTAAAGAAGAAGAACGATATAGTATGCTATATAAAAGAAAAGAATAGTAGAATGTACAGTAAAGAAGAGGAACAGTACAGTAGGAACAGTACAGTATGCTGTGAAGGCTGTGAAGTAAAATGCTGTGATGTAAATCTAACATGTATATCTGAGAAATCTATTGCTCCTTTAAGCGAGCTAGTATTTACTGTATAAATAAAAGAAACATTGTCTGGAAAACTCGAGAAAATCGACAAATGACAATTCCAAGAAAATTATCAAAATCTCGGGAAGATCCCGGAAAAAAGGACCACGAGTGCTTTCCCCAAAAAAATTTCAATAAAATATACGAAAAATCCGAAAAGGGGGGACCGCAAGCACTCGGGTCGAGGCTATACTCAAATATAATATATTTGTACTCGAGAGACGTCGAAGACTACTATCGGTCACCCGGATGTATAAAACCCACCATTCAACTAAAAGGGTGTCCTACTAAACCTAACTTATGAAGGTACTCCTTAGTCCGGTACTGGTAACCAACTAGTGGACAACCAAGTTGTGACACATTTAAAATTTATATTTTAGCACGCACGTGGATTTCAGACATACAAAAAGTAAGTTGTATCAATTTCGTAGTGAAAATATTTTTATAAATATTGTATATGTTCTTATCATGTTTTTGAAAAGTATAATTGTTCACGAGTCGATCACGTCGTCGGACATAGGACCAACAACCTAAGAAGGTACGGGTCCCCCGCTAGTCTTGTGTCGGTGAATGATATTATCATCCTACAGTTTATCAGATCATATGATTGGGTCCTGATATCGTAGGATGAAATATCATTTTGCTCTACCACCGGCGTGCCTTTATCATCATCGCCCTAACATCATCGCCCTAAGCCACATACTTGCGACCTTGCTTGATGGTT